AATTCTTCTGTGTCTGCCAATTCCTTTCGATACAATGACTCACTATATTCCATCTTCTTTTAATATTTCCTAGATCATATAATATTCTGCCTAAAGCATCCTTAATTATAGCAACTCGAGGTTTGAATTTGTTCTTCAGTTCCTTGAGCTTAAGAAATGCTGAGCGAGTTCTGCCCTTTTGATTTTCTGACTCCAACTTCTTGCACATTTCATTGTAATATTTTACTTTGTCATCACGTGCTGCCTTTTGAAATCTTCTATTCACACAAATATAAGTACATTAAAAAAACCACAAAGTAGTTATGTGTGTGTATATATATATATGAAATATAGGAATCATCAAAACATGAGGTCTGAAATAAGTAATTTTTCTCTTTATAGGCTCTTCCGTCTTTTTCCTTAAGTGTCAAAAACACTGCAGCAAAATTAAGGATTACTGGCTTTAATATTCCAAAATTATTAAAAGGAAACTCACACCCTTAAACAAGGCCAGGTGATCCCATTCAGCACATTCTCCTCAAATATGAGGATCAGAACCAAAGATATTGGGGAGGTAAATATTACCTGAGAGCCAGGACAGAAATACTACATACAAAGAGTAGTCTAGGTGTGTCAGTGATGTCAGAAGAAGGGACACTTTTAGAACACGGACCAGAAGGGGACCTGCCCACTCAAGTCTGGACTCTGTGGCATCATCTCATTGGCTCAGGCCCAAGCCCCAAGGTCCGCTCAGAGAATGGGCCATAAATAGAGATTCACCTCACAAACAAGGGGCTTTTGCTCCCTTGAAGGAGGAGCATTGCGGATGTAGCTTTCTAATAGCTCTATCATTAATATTTATCTTAATTTCTGTTTCCATGTCTCCTCCCTGAACTCTTAAAAAAAAGCCTTTCGTTTATGCTCCCGCCAGGAAAGTCTACTCTCCCAACAAACACTAAAATAGCCATTCTTGGTACTACTTTAGTACTTGAACACCATTCTCTCTCTCTTCCATGGGGTATAAATCTTGTACCTGTGTGAGAAGTTCAAATAAGGGCACTCCTGACACAATTAACACCAACATAAACAAGATAAACACTTAAGAGCAACTAACGATCATCTTTATTTCCTCTCTCATCAGTTCAAGTTTCAAGTCATAATTTTTTTTAAAAAGTTTTATATATAAGTATAGATATATCTATATATATATAGAGAGAGAGAGAGAAAGAATAAAAGCTCAACTAGTTTAGTTTTTATAAAGCACAGGTATGCAAATAATTTTTAATCTAAATCTTTATACACTTCCTTGATCACTTTCAAAACTTCATATGGTTTAGCAAAAAGCTAAATTTTTAATAGAATTCCTCCCAAATCCTATTCACAACTGGTCTATACCTTCCATGAAAATGAAAAAACGAAGCACCCAGTGCAGTGGTTAATTTGGCATGGCTTGCCCTGTGACTCTGAGGAGGGACGAAAATAACAGAAGATCAACACACAAAAAGGTTAACTCACAATGGTATTGAAACAGCCGCAAACCTAGAGACCAAGTATAAACAAAAAGATCACTGAGTACTGCATAAAGAATTTTAAGACTGCTGTTTACCTGTTGTTTCCCAAATTTTCAAGGCAACCTTCAATGAATCTCATTCGAATCTGTCTATCTGTAAACCAACATACTAAGGAACAGAGAAGTTTCTCTGCTTCATTTATTAATCCTTCAGAAAGATTAACCTACAAAAAAAACCAAAAAACAGTAAAAAGTTATTGTTTCTCTCGATCACATTTCGTTAGGATTACACAGCCCACTGGTTCTCTTTAGGTAACTTACTGCATCGTCATCCTGAACTATATCCCACAATAAAGTGTTTCCTTTCTTACAAACGTTATCCAAATTAATGTCTGTCACAGCATTACTGTTGAACTGATGCTTATGAACTGCAGGTCCTGAAGGAGCAAATATAACACATTATATTGAAATGCAGCTATAAGTTAAATCATCTGTTAAGTTAAACACCAATCATTAAAAATCTTGTATCAAAAATGAAGTAACAATACATCAATCAGAAACTCTGGGCTTTTTATTTATAGTTCTCCACATAATGCACTATTCCCATTATTATGCACCGTTAGCAATATGTTATCAACAGTCTTTCATTTGATTCACTTTAGTAGAAGTGTGGTTTGTTAACTTCACTGTGATCTTAATGTGCACTTGTGAGATACTCAATGGTATTGAGCTCTGGCAGACAGAGGTAAGAAGGCACACAGTTTAAATTCACCAGGTGCTCCACAGCAGAAAGGTAGACAATTTCCTCCCAAATGATGAAACAAGCTCTGAAAATCTCCTTTTGTTGGTTTTTACCCAATGGTATGCAACAACAGATGTCTTTTCATATACTTATGATCATTTCACAATAATGGGACCTCCACGTTTTATTTATTACTTTAACTTAGGATGTCTGACTGCATTAGAAGAATAAATTAATATACTTCAAGAGCATTAATACATCCAATTGTTCATTCATTAATCCGTTCAATATTTCAAACACTTCTAAGTTCACATAGTGAAAAATATGTTAAGTGCTGTCGAGTCAGATGACTCATAGCGACCCTATGAAAGAACTGAACACTTGTGTAACTTTCATCATTTCTCCAAGTTCATAGTTTCCAGAGGCAAGCTCTTTCAGAAGTAGAAGCCATTCCTGCTTCCAAGCTTATTTTAATCAGGGAGCTCCACCAAACACTGTGAGCCATGGTAACCATTACCGTGTTTGACACATCAGTGTCAACTGTATTTGGTATAATGTAATATTAAAAAATTAAAGAGTAGGTAGCAGCTGGTGACAACTTAAGAAATATAGTATGACATTCAATCAGATGACTTAAGTTTTAAATAACTTCTTTTCCCTGATAATGCAACAGTAACAAAAAAGCTAAGTTAACATTACCTAGAGTAAGTAATCTCTGAAATCAGTAAACTCTTTCCGAGCATCACAAGTTGTACCCCTATGTGGTTCTGTCCTTTAAATGTGAGCTGCGGCGAACTACCCAACGCAAACACATCGTCCAGGCTCAGAAAGGACAACACGAACAAGCAATCTGAAACATCCTAATCTGACGACTTGGAAACGGTCTTTCACCATTTTCCCCATCAACACATCTGTCCTATTACTCTTCCTTATCCTCCTTTGTTCTCTTATTATTCTAAGTCTGGTCATATCCAATTAGTTTTTATAGACTTGTTTAGAATGTTCTGAACAATAATTTTGAGAAAATTTTCACTACATCCCCTTGATGCCCTTCGAGAGCAGACTCCTTTCCATTTTCCTCTAAAGGTCCCTGGATATAGGAAACTACTAACCTAATTTTCTGTCTCTTCACATGTGTCTGTTTTAGACATTTCATATAAATGGAATTACACAATAGCTGGCTCTTTGTGATTTTCTATTATGCTTTGTTCAAAAGATTTCTAAATAGAAAATCCAATATAACCATGTATTTTCTGAAATACCAACCTGTAATTTTCTTACATATTACTATATATATATTTTTTTTCTTAGCTGAACATCTGGCTGGTGGAATTATATGCAGCCTTTCAAGATGGAAAGAAAACTACCAAATGAAAATTATTATGGACAAAATATTTCATTTTCTACACCACTAGCTGTTAATTTCTTTTAATAAAAAATCCACTTGTGCTAGAGAAAGTAATATTTAACTTAGAAACTTACCTTGACTCAGATGTTCATGATAAATAGATGCTAAATTGGGCAGATGTTGCTGGAGATGAGAAGTTAGTTCTGCATGGGAGTTGATCTGAACTAGCTCCTCTTCACATCCAGATTCTTCACCATCAAAATCAGCCATATTTTTTTCTGATTTTGCACTGACCTGGGAGCTGCTACAGCTGACATCATCTGCACTTAGCATATCATCAACCATGTGTCTGTAACAGAAAGGAACACGTGACTAATTTGAAATTTAAACTTCTGGTGAAACAATCTCTAAAGACACATTTCAAGTTAACACATATTCCGGAATAAAGTTCTATTTTAACAGTATGGAACAGTCAAAGCTTTGTCATGTACCACCAAGTCAGAACTGACTGACTCACAGCTGACCCTTGGGCGGGTTTTCAGAGGCTGTAAACCATCTGGGAGGAGACCGCCCATCCTTCTCCTACAAAGTAGCTGGTAAACACAAACTGCATACCTGTGGGTTGGCAGTGCACCTCCTCCCCAGGAAACCACCACATCTCCCTACTGACACCTTTACAAATACTAAAGAGCCTACAGGGTCAGAACTACTCAATTTAGAAACTGTAAAGAGAATAATTTGGAAATATTAGTAATATTTTTAAAACACAATTTTGTAAAACTCAAATTTTTATTTTGATGTTATAAAGTTTGTTTCTGTTAAACTGGAGAATCACTGTAAATCATTGAAACCATTGTCCGGAAAAGCTTTTCATGGTTCAGGTTCCAATCTAAACATAATTTACATGAATCAGATTAACCATAATTTACATGCATATATTAAGTGTGTGCATATATTTTAAAAACATATGGTCCTACACGTCATAAAGGTTATATATAGAAAAAGAACAGTAATACAGAATAAAAGTTCAAGGTTGATTTGGAAATTCACAAGTAATAACTTATTAGTGATAATACAGATAAAATAGCAACTCTTTCAAGAATATGATATAATATATATATATAAGAAAATCATGTACATAAAATAGTAATGCTCTCAAAATCAAATTCTTTTCTGCTTTGAAATTTTTGTCCAAACTATAGGCTTTCGATGATGGGAGGGCATTTTTATCAAAAGAGACTTGATAATGTTAGCGGAACAAATAGGTCCCTAGGCATGTTTGGTAGTGGGTTTCATAAGGCGCTTTTCTTTAGATTATACAGGTGCCCGCCGTTTGATATCATAATTAAAAATCGAACAGCAGGTTCTTATTAAACCCCAGAGTGAGGAAATGTGGGTGGGCACTACAGGGCCTATAGATTACCAGTGGATTAAGTCTTGTGGGAGGGTATTTTAGGACTAAGAAAGCTTTACAATATGCCAAATGAAATATACTCCACCCAATTTTGTAATTTCTTTGTCTTCAATATCAACTGGGCTGTGGATAGTGTCTAAATTCAGAACTTTTATCAGTGGTTCTTGAGCAAAGCCGATTCCCGTGCCAAGCAGATATACGGCAATGCCTAGAAAGGTTTTTAGTTGTCACAACTGGTAATATCTCCTGGATGTGAGGATAGTAACCAGGGATGCTGCTAAATATCATCAAAGAATTAGCTATCTCAAAATGTCAATAGCACCCAGCCTTAGACTCTCCTGGATTAGTAAAATGAAGAAAATCAAAAGAGCAATGGTATCAGTCTAGAGACTAAGGTGTGCCTGATAAAGGCCATGGTCTTTGCCATCACTTGCTATGCGTCAGAGAGCTGGACAATGACTAGGGATGACAGAAGGAGAACTGATGCCTTTGAGCTGTGGTGCTGGACAAGAGTATTGAATATACCATGGACTGCTAAGAGATAGAACAGGTTCGTCCTCTTAAACCAGGTTAAACCAGGGTTAAACTAAGCTGTTCCTCGGAGGCAAGGATTCTAAAGCTCTGTCTGACATACTTTGGACATGCTGCAAAGGTAGGACCAGTCCTTGGAGAGGGACGTCATGCTTGGGAGGGTGGATGGACACTGCAGTAGAGGAAGACCGTCGATTAGATGGACTGATTTAGTGACTGGGTTAAAGGGTGTAGGTGTGTCTGAGACAATAAAATTGGCACAGGATAGAGGAGGGTTTAGGGCTGTTGTATACAGGTTTGCTATGATTCACAGGCAACTCAACGACACATAATAACAAATGGAAATAAAAATATACAGATATGTGGTTCCCTCAGAGAAAAAAAACATATTTCTGAAAAATCTGGATAACTGCTCAAGGAATTTTTAAAAATCTGCTTGATAAACTGTATTTTCCTATTCTGTTGTCAACTCAACACTACTTTTAATAATAATTATGTGATCATTAAATGCTTTAATTATGTGATCATTAAATGCTTACTGAGCACTTAAATGTGTCCTTGAATTAGTCCATGGAATTCTCACAATAACTCATGAGAGATTACTAATTCTCATTTTGTAGATGAAGAAACTGAGGGAAAGAAGAGTTTGTCTTCATACCATTTAATGGATAAATCAATCACTTATTGTTGAATAACACGCATATATATTACAGTAACCAAAATATTCTACTTATTAATTCCCTAATAAGGCTGACACAGGATAGAGCAGAGTTCAGAGCTGTTGCAAACAGGGTTGCTATGAACTGCAAGCAACACGACTGACTCGATGGCACATAACAAGAGCAAGAAATTCAGTTTCAATTTCATCACATTGCAGTGGATCCTTACATAAGGACCTTATACTTTTAAAGCATAATTATATGGCCTTGGAAGGTAAAAATCTGTGCTGTTCTGTATGACAAAACACAAGTCACATACAATCATGGCCCATATAAAAAGCTACTTCACACAAACACTGGCCTAGTGCCCCTCCTGCAAAAAATAAGAAATCCCATTAATAACTTCAAGACATTACACATATAGTATTTTACACAGAAGATAGAATTTACATAAACTGCTAAAATGACGTTTACCTGCTGTATTTTGCTTTTGATCACTAAACATTCCTAATTACATGTTTCTACTTACCCGTCGTGGTGGTGATGGTGGTGGTGGTGTTGATGGTGGTGGTGGTGGTGGTGGTGGTGGTGATGCTGTGGGCCAATAAACTGCCGACAATTAAATAGCTCGTTTCCAATCGTCTCCCCCAGAAAGTCCCCAGTCCGTGTGATACAGGAATCCTGGGAACCCTGTGCTATGTGAGCAGCATTCATCTCTCCTGAAATATCATGCTCTGCATCTTCAGAGTGCGAGCAGCTGTCCAGCAGGCGGATCCGATTATCTACCGAGGGCATGGACTCAGTGTTAAAAACCAGGTCTGTTCCTGCGCCACTGTTTGCTCCACTTCTTTCTGAGGGGCCCTGGGAATCTCCCAAACACATGCCTGTTTGACTTTCTAACTTCCTGCTCCGAAGTTCTGTACCACAACTGCTTTTAGGAGGATTATGACCATGATCATCATCTTCATCTTCTTCTTTCAGGGCTTCGATATCTGCAATGTCTTCTGACTGGACCTCACTGCCAGGGCTCCCGGCAGACTGGCTCGCATGGCTAGAATTCACCTCATTGCTAGATCCGTCACTGCGCCCACTGCTGCTGCCGGGACCACTGCTTCCATCTTCACCACTATTGGCTGTTTCATCAGAACTTCCCTGCATAGATTCCTGTATGTGAAAGAGATATAAATATGGGAATACAAATACAAAATTAAGTATAGGAAGAAAAGTCTAGCACATTAATGTAATGTACTTTTCCAAAATGCTGCCAACTTGCTAAATTCCTTCAAGCAATACAAGATGCTCTTCCAGTCTCAGCGGTACCCCAAAAAGGTTTTGGGATGCCTGAGATGAGGTATCAGACATCTGTGGTATTTGCTCTGTTTACTATCACCCAGCTGAGCAATGGGCCAGGCTTTTGGCCTCTAAATCACTGCTGAACACTGTGGCGAACCAAGATTTGACCTTATGGTACATTATAATGTTGGCTCAAGATTCTATAGGATTTTTGTGCTTCTGAGCCATGGACTCTAATATTGGATGTACATTCATCAATGCAACAAGCCCACTGCATTAACTAGGCTTCTTAAGATCTGAGGACTCCTTCTCCCAGAACACTTTGGCTTTGTAAGTGGAATGTTCAACGCCAAATGGGACCAAATTGCCCCTGCTAGCAACATCTCCTACACCATGGTCCTGTGCCCTCTGAAGAGTCTGGCTACTTCAACTTCACCTCAGCAGCCATTACATACCTGGCCCAGAAAAATGGGCCTGTTGTGATTGGCTTTACCAGTACACCTGGGCAAGGGGCATTCTAGCTCAAGGGGAGGCTGATAGGACAGGCTCCTCCCATTTTCTGGACTGGCCCGCCTATGGGGTCTTGACCCTTCAATTCCCCTGCACTGTGGTATTCCAACAAGAGCAAATACCACACTCCCCAAACCAAAAACTGAATGAGGCTTCTACAATCCCCCAACTCCAAAGGGTACTGCGAATGCAATTTCTCCTCCTTTCACCCTTGGCCACGTTCTCCTGGATCTTACTCTGCTCTCAGCTAGAGTGAAGGAAAAGGCTGAGGAGTCTGCGAGCCTCCTCGATTCCATCCTGAAGTCACACAAACAACAACAGCATAAGCCGAGAAAGCGCTCCAGTGCCCCACTGAAGGGCCAGTGGGTGTACTGATGGCAGCGTGAACTCTCAGGGGTTCGGAAGGTGTGTTAACACTGTCTCCACCTCCTCCCTCCCCTCTCAGAAGAAGAGTGGAAGATGAAAGGGAAACTATACGGCTCTTGCGGATAATCATTCTGGATTAGAGAAGTGCTTATCAAATGAAATTTTCCAATAAAATGAAAACACCACAAAAAACCAAAACCAATAAACAACAAACTCCACACCAAAATAGGATGAAAAACTTAAATGACAGTCATTGCTGTGTACCGTAAGTCTAAACTGACCCACAGCTGTTCCACCAGCTGGTTTTCAGAGGTTGTAAACTGCATGTAAGGAGACTGTCCAGCATTCTCTGGGGAAGCTTCTGGATTTGAACTGCACACCTTTAGGTTGTCAGTGCAACTCCTTACAACTAAGCCATGAGAGCTCCCTACGTGACAATATTGTTACTATATACTGCTGAGTCAGAACCGACTGATATTTGACCCTCCAGTGGACTGTCAGTAATAGGAAATCACATGAGAGGAAAACGCCCATCTTTATCCATTGGAACAGCTAGTGGATTTGAACTTAAGGTTGCCAGTGCAACTTTCTTACCAATACTCTACCAGAGCTCCCTGAAAGAGAATAAAAGGATCTCAAAAATACTCCTTAAATGTACTACTAGGAAGAGAAAACCAATCCTGAACATGGATTTATAATTTTATTCCCAATCCAAATGGTAAACATGGCAGAAAGCCTAGAAGCCCTTTGAGAGGTAGGAGAGCACGGTTTCCTTACCTCCGTGTCTGAAAGGCGCTGCTGTACATGTTTGCTTCTGTTGATAAGTTGCTCTTCCATTTCAATGTCACTGCCTCCACTTTGATGGGTGTCACTGTTATCACTACTTTGCGGACTAGCTGCAGGTGACCCTGGGGAATAAAAGATTGTATCTTTTTACTTCAAATTTGTGTTACTAACGATCAAGGCAGCCTCTCTTGAGTCTTTTCGCTGTCAAGACTTATAGTAACTGCCAAGATTTAATCCAGAAATATGCTAACATATGTCAATCCTTTCAAAAAGGGCAGTAAGAAGACAATGACTTTAAGGAACTAATTCAGGGTTTGAAGCTCCTTCTCAAAACGGTATGCTATTACAGGGAAATCAATTCTAAAGGAAATCCAAACTATACGCCATGATGCCATGCATTTCTAAGACTCAACTTACAAGGTGATGGAGCTGCTCTTCTGAGCTCTTCTTCCTCTGAAGGAAAAGGAAAAAACAGGAGGGAAACATTCTAAGTGATTGAGCTTCTCTGGGACAGCGTATCAGATGTTCGTATTATGTAATCAACAGACACAGGTGGGGAAAGCTGCAATAGTGTAAGTCCCCACCACCTGCACTAGCTGCTGTGGGTGCCTGCACAGAAAAGCCCAAGAAAAGAGCAGTATACGATGTCAGGAGAGAAAAATAGGGGTGAAAGGAGACCAAGTTTTAGAAAGCCCTTGTAAGATTCACAAAGAACAGCTGACATGGAAGAAAACATGAGAGAAAATGTCATCATTATGTTCTACTTATAGAATTATTTCTGAAACAAAACTTGCCAATTTTTATTAAACAACTTATATTTTAAAGGGAAGAACAATTAAGGATGTAGAAAATCCAAGAATACTAAAAAGTTACTACTATCCTTTAACCATTCATTGCAATTTTACCTTTTCACATATAATCTGGCGCTCATCCCTAAATTATTATTGTAAAATTATAGCTAAGTTGATCTGGCAGGAAAAAACTTTCAAAGTTTACATCAATAAGCTATGACCAATTTACTTCAAAATGTGGAATGCTGTACTAACCTTTCTTATTTCCAATGGGAAGATTAGTATTTAACAAAGATGCAAAAGAACTCTGTTTGGACAGCTGCGCCTTTGCTGCTAGTGCATTATTCCACAAGGCTTTGATCAGCATGGAAGCTAGATACAACGTCTAAGGGAGAAAGCAAAGAAGGTAGTGACATGAGAAGGGCTTAAGCAACATCATTATCAAATTTCACACAGCTTTTCAGGAATTCTAAATGAGTTCCGGTGGTGCTATGGTTAAAGCATCAAGCATCAGGCTGCTAACCAAATGTCAGAAGTGCAAACCCTTGAGGTGATTCACAGGAGAAAGGGAGACACAGGAGCCAGAACCTTGTAAAGATTAAAGCCAACAGCAGACTCTGCTCTCCAGGTCACCACAAGTTTCCACTAACTCAAAAGTAATGAGTTTTCAGTTAAGTCTAATTAAAATACCAATAGTAATAAACTTGCTATTAATTAATAATTAATAAAATTCTTTTTAATTATGAGTATTCGGAATAACTAATAGTTTATTAATTATTTCTATTTTCAATTATGTGGATGACAGGCAAATCTTCCCTTTACAAAAGACAGTCATATTGCAAACGTATTACCTGTTCAGTATGAACACTTGGCTCAAGAGCTGAGACAAGATTAAGGAGATGTCGAAGCGGCACAGGATCCAAGTTCTTGATGAGTGAAGGGAACAAGTCATGGATGTACCTACTACAGTGCTTCAGCTGGAAAGTCAAACCACACACAACGGTCAAAATAAACGGCGCAACGGAAATTATCCAATATTCTAGAAAGTTATTAATTATTAAGCTGTGCAGCTGGTACATAAATCAACAGTCTTAATATGCTATTAAATGTTGATGATCAAGTATCATAAAGAACTATATGAAATTCAAGTTCCATTTAAACAGATCATTTAAATATTCTGTATTTATCTTAACCAATAAAGCAAGTTTGCGTTTTCTACTACAAAAAGGAAGCCAACAATGGATACAACTTTGGACTATAGAGTGAGAAGATCTGAACTAAATTTATGAAGTATAAAAATACAGGTAATTACAAAAAAAGCAGTTATAAAAGCAAACAATATTTTAAGCATATGGTATTTCTCACATAAAATGTTTATAAAATAAGTATATAGTAACTTTTCTTTTACTAGTATACAGAGTGGAATTTTCTTCATCTTGTTCTTAAGTGTTACAAATTTCTATATAGCAATAAACCTGACATTTAAAAAGTTCAATATGATAAAGATATAAATTTTATGCTGATAGATTTACATATTTATGTTTATATAAGGAAAAGGGTATATTTACAAAGACACTACTAAATACTACAATGTCGTATTAAATGTGCATTTTATATTCACGAAGCTACTAAAATGCTTTATCAAGACAAAGGAACACCTAAATCTAGACCCTGTCCACAGTTGGAAACTGTCAAGTTTCTCTTTCAATAGGACTTTTCCTAGCCATTGCTTGACTATGCTATGTAGATAAGTGCGACTATGCAAATGCGGTGTTAGCTGCTCCACAAAATTTGGACTATCTACCATTACACAAGAGGGCTAGCCGGTCTCAATAATCTCCAAGAGGACTGGCTAGTTTCACCAATAAATTAAACAGCTCTAGCAGCAGAGACAGATCATCTGGTGCCTTTGAAGAAAAAAAACCAAGGTACTACAGAATGTCCTTCATGCTCCAGCTACACCTATGGAAGCAATACTGATGGGACTCTCAGAGAAAAAAAGCCAACACTGGCAGGACTTTGAACTTTGTTGGACAACTGGAGGTGGGAAACCACTATTAGCAGGACTGGGAGCTTGGGAACACTGGCCTAAAGCTGTGAGGCTCAAGGAAGAGGTGCTGCATGCAGCACATTCCAGGAGCTGTCTTGACTGTATTCTGTTATTAATCTGGGTTATAATCTTTTGACTTCCCCAATATGGTTCTGTGTGGTCTATGAGCTATTGCATTGGATTTTTAACCAAGTGAAGCAGTATGAGTGGTGCTGAGTAGAAAAAGGTATGGAGTGTGGTTGACATGTCTGACCTCCTGGGAATTTGTTTTGTCTTACTAATGCTGTAGACCCTTTGTGAAGTTGATGAAGGTCAGAGATGGCTGGCCCTACGTGGTCCTTAATTTTCTTTTTTTTTTAACATGAACTCTTTCCCCACCCCCCACCCCTTGTGTACCATCCAATTGGATCCAACTGGCACAGGAGGAGATTTGCCCCTCCTTCTCCAGCTTGTCTTTGGGATTGCTTCTTGCCACTAGACCACCAGAGCTCCCTTATACAAACTCAAAGGTAAAGCTGGAGCTATCTTCATTATTTTCCCCGAGTGTGTAAGAAAATGCAACTTTATACTCCAAATATAGATTTTTCAGATCCAAAACCTAATTCTCTTCTGTTATAATCCATATCAGAATAAACATGCACAATTTAGCACTGAAATAGAAGGGGAAATAAATGTAATAAAGTAATATTGAAGGAATAGTTGTATGCTGTTACAACTACACAGACATCACTATGTATACTTCAATACCACTACTTCTAAACTAGAAACATTTGATTTTTAAAGAGAAACAAAACCAAACTATTTAACTCCTTTTGTACTTTCCTCCAGTATGTTCATTTTACTATAGTATTAATTCACTGTGCTTGAATTATACTACAACTACCATTTATAAACTTGCTTTTCGACAAGTAAATTTTAGGCTATACTTTGACAATTGAAAAATAGATCATATAATAATTTACTAATTTCTTTGCTTTAATTTTTATGATCAGTGACTTCGTTCATTATCTTTCCAAGAGAAACAGTTCTCTTTGAGTGGCAAAATAAGTGGTTATTTGTAAGTTATCATCTTTGTTCTTTGTATTATTTGATCATTTTACATAAGGCACAGTAGTGATTATGTTAGAAGTTACATACTATAGACTGTTTATTATAGAAAAACTGAGGGAAAGTAAATATACACCTATTACAAGGTTAGAGTATGTATCCAAGCTGCTAAAAGAAAAGGTCAGCAGTTCAAAACTACCAGTTGTTCCATGGTTAAAAAATGGGCAATCTCTTCCCATGAAGATTTATAGCCTCACAAACCCAAAGGAAGATCATTGTCAAAACCAACTCAATGGCAATGTATGCAATCTTAGAGAAAAGCAATCCTGTCATAAAGATTGCTAGAAAATACTCTTCAGGAAGGGAGAGAAAGAAAACCTCACTGGTATCCTATATCTTAAAAACCTCACTGGTATCCTATATCTTAAAAAAAGGAATAGAAGGAAGAACAAATGTATGTAAATCAGCTATTAATGCAGGAAAAACTTTGGTTGATTTGTAAGGATAAGAACTGCATACCTGAAGAGAGAAAAATGTGTGATACAATCTAAACTTCTTTTTTATCTGAAAGCGTATGGATAAATACCTATTTAAAAAAAATTTTTAAAGCAAAACACAGTACAATAAAGAAACAACAAACAAACTGATATTCAGAATAGGAGAGATTGACTATATACCCAGGAGATGCTTCTATTAAACCAATAAAGTTGTGTGAAGAGCTTCCAACCCTTCTCCAACTCAGTAATGAAGGGAGGCTCAGAAGCCAGATAACTGTTTCAATCCCAGCGTACTTGTGCCTTGGTCTCATCTTTCAAATGGACATGATGACAGCACGTACCTCACAGGAAGAAAAAGGACTCAGGATAATTAGGAAGCACTGAATAGGCGTGTGCTCTTATTACCTGTGCGGCAGCCCAGATGCAGTCAATATGCTGCGTACTCAGTCGCCCTTCTGCTGCCAAAAAATTCAAAATCACTTGGCACTGTTTGATAATCTAGGAAAGAAAAAGTTATTATAGTTATGTTTTCAGAACAATCTTCTGTCGCAACAGAGCAGAGAAGCCATGTAAAGAACAAACCTCAATATGTAAATTTGGTCCAAAGATATGCTCCACCACATTGTTGCTAATAAGCCAGTCTGCAAGTTCTTTCGCAATGGACCTAAAGTCAAATAATAAAATTAGTTACCAAATTTAAAAAAAAAAAAAAAAGAGGGATAGGGGAGGGTCTTTTCATTTGTATTATCTTTTCCCAGGTGTAAAAAGCAGAATTGGTTGAAATCCTAAACACGTCCATCAAAAGAAGAGATTAACAAGAAATTCTAATATTCTGTTTCAGAATAAGCAATAAACTTTTTATTAATAAACTAAGGATAATAACTCAACTGAGTACCTAAGAACAGCAAGTGGAAAACCCGTTAGCAATCGATTTTCCTAGTCAGGGTTCTGATTTCCATAGTCAGAGGTTTCTCACTATGTCAGCTGTGTGCTGACGGACTGTCAAAGAACAGACACGTCTGCGTGGAAGAAGTCCAAGCAGAGAGCTCCTTAGTATCCATGGTGAAACCTTGTCTCACACACTTTTGGTCAAGGGGGAGCCAGTCCTTTGAGGGGGGGACAACTCGCAGAAAGATGAATTTACAGTGTGACTGACACTAGGCTTGGGACAGTAAAAATGGTGCAGGATAGGACCAGGTGCAGAAGTTAGTCCTATGAGTCGTACAAGCAGCAAGAGAAAATTGCACTAGGAATGCAAATAACCAAAAAAGAAAAAGGCAAGTGTACCAAAACCGAACCAAAGTCCCCTGTAAGACCCTAACAGAGGTTCTAGTAAAGTGTATTTCAAAATACTAATAACCTAATCAAAGCAGATTAATGTTTACCAATAGTTCATCTTTATATATATATATATACACACACACATATACACACATATATGAAATTTTTCTTTTAAAACAAAATTTGTTTCAAGTTGTTAACCAGTGCAAATGGTTAACAGGCTCAGTTGCTAAGTGAAAGGCTGGATATTCAAGTACCCAAAGTTCCTTAGAAGAAAAGCCTGACCATTTACTTTTCTGCAAATCAGCCACTGAAAACCCGCTGAGGCACAATGCTACTCTCCCTGCTGTCACAAGTCAGAGAGGACTCACTGGCAACTACTTACATTTTGTTTTTAATAAGTGATTTTTTTAGCAGACTTGTTCATTAGCAAACAAGTTAACCTTTAACATTAATTCTAGTACTACGGCTCTCGGGGTTTATGAGTGAGCTGTTTGGTTTCCAAAGCACAGAGATACAGGACCTATAATAAGCTGAATTTAAAGTGTACAAATTTATAAGCTTACTACCCAAGAGTATCTGTGGATCTATCACCACCATCGAGATAATGAGCACATACATCACCCCCAAGCTGCTTCAGGACACTGTTAATTCACCACACCCACACGTCTGTCACACTGCATTCCCCCGGCAGCCACAGAACTGCTCCTTGTCACTCTATGTCACAGTGACCATAACTGATTACAATCATTTATGTACAGGCATGCAATATATACTTTTTTTTTAATCTTATTAACAGTATTTATTTATCTTTCCTCAGTCAAACCCTGAGCCAATCACTTTCCCCAGGCTGCCTGGGGAGTTACAGGGAAAGGAACACATAGGGTAGACAAGACATGGGGAGCGAAAACCAACAAACTATGAGAGGTGGAGATGGCTCCTTCACATGGCGAAAAGGATCAGAAAGGCCACCATCAGGCAAAAGAGCCCCATGGCCTCTGAGAGGGCAAAGCCCAGAATGGCATAGGAGAAGAGCTGCTGCTTCAGAGAAGGATTCCTGGCATAAGCAATGATGAGGCTCCCAAACACAGTCCCCATCCCAGCTCCAGAGCCAGCCACTCCAACCGTGGCAGCCCCAGCCCCAATGAACTTGGCTGCTGTGTCAATATCCCTTGAGACAGTGCTGGTTTGGAAGTTGTGACTAGGGACAAATGAAATCAAGGAACGAGGGGCTGTCAAGCAGCTGAAATTCTCATCTCTCAGTGTCTCTGGCTGTTTCAGGACCACTGCAGACAATGGACGGCTCAGCAGCTGAGAGGCACTCCTGACCAGGGAAGGGGTGGAGACAAACTTGGTGCAGGTATACATTTTCAGGGGATGAGGGGCTGTGGCACGAAAGCTGCTCCTAGTGCAGAGAAGACAGAGTTACACTTATTTTTTTAACCTAATTCCACTCAGCCTAAGAATCACTTATATGGTTACAGTAACAATTTGAATCAGATTAACAGTCAGATTACTTTTTTTTTAAGTTTTTTTTGGGTTTTGCTGTTGTTGTGTACCATGGTGTCAGACTCAACTAGCACAAGAGGAGATTGTCCCTCCTTCTCCAGTGGAGCATCTGATGGATTCGAACCAACGTGCCTTCATGATTGCAGTGCAGCTTCTAGGCCACCAGAGCTCCCTTAACAGTTTTTTACTGCTGAATAATACTGCCTATCTAGGTATCGCTTTACTACTATTTGCTTATCCCATCAAAAATATCAATTTTAGAAATATAAAACCAAAATGCTCTTGAGAAATGAGCATGGGGACTTCAGTTCGCTTACTCTAGACATATCCTCAGCAACAATCAATAACTAGAAATGGACATCATGCTTGGTAAAAGAAAGGGTCATCAAAACTGAGGGCAACCTTCAATGAGATGGACCATTATCATTACAAGAGCCACAGAAATGGGCTCAAATATGCAAAAGTGAAGACCCCACAGGGCAACAGCTCTGTTCTATAAGGTTCCACCCACATTCAGTCAAGGTACATACAATTGCCAATGGCATCCAACAACAACAAAAGATGCCTATGTCCTAAAAAAATAAGGCCAAAAGAAATAAACAGAAAACCGAAAGACATCATATATATAAATGACCAAAAGGCAACTGGCAGGCATAACCAACTTAATAAATAATGTGAACAGTAAATGAATTAAACACATCAAAAAGCAGACTACTATACTAGGTAGGGAGAAGAAATCTAATTATATGCTCTCCCCAAAAGATATAGTTCAATTTAAAAACCCAAACAGGCTAGAAGTAAAAGGATTTAAAGAAAAGACAAATAAACCATGTAATTAGCATAAGAAAGGTAGAGTTAATATACTAGTATCAAACAAAACATACTTTCTGATGCAAAGTATGTAAAGATACAGGAGCATTTTATAAAGGTTTCAGAAGGACAAGATTTTAAGAGTAAATATGGACCTAGGAAAATACCTGAGGGAGAAAGAGAAATAGCAGCAAGAAAATTCACTATCTTGTTTTCACTGATAGAACAAAGCACAGCAAACTACAAAAGACAGACTATTACTGAAAATTTACACCGAACAAATATTTGTACAACTCTCCAGACAAGAACTGAATACATATTCTTCCTAAGTGCACAAAGAATATTATACAGCACAGATCATTATGTCAAGTCATAAACCATTACTACCAAGCATGTACACTGGACAATGATGTGGACAGAAAATTTATCAAAGAGGAGAGAGAAAAGGGGGAAGTAAATTTATGTAAAAGATATCCCATCATCATTAATAGTTGCAGAAAAGGGCCCTTTTCCGGTTCCTAAGCCTGATGATTGAGTGTTCATACTTCTGTATGGCATGTGCCACTTTTTAAAAAAGTTTATTTTTAGTGTGTGCACCATCAAATCAGACCTGACAAGGTACAGGAAGAGATTGCCCCTCCTTCTCCAGGAGAGCATCTGATGGATTTGAATAGTGTACCTTGGCGACTGCAGTGCAACTTCTTGCCACTAGGCCACCAGAGCTCCCAAAGGGCACAAGAGCTACCTACGTGCCATCTTTTAAACCCTGGTACAATATGGGCACACTACTCACCTGACGTGAAATAAAAAAAAAAGTTACAGAAGAAGTAAATCCACGATACTACTGAAAAACAAAATGCAAAACCAAACCCACTGCTGCCAAACGGTGATCCTAACTCACGGCAATGCCAAGTGTTCAAGAGAGCTTTTCAGTGGGCTTTCCCCGACAGATCCTGATGGGGGGTGATCATCAACATTTCCTTCTACGATGACACAGGGCAGTTCAGTCACTTACTTTGAAGGTGAATAGGTAAGAGTATCCTGTTTCCCAGGAACATTTCCACTCACTAGAATGGACACAAGCAAAACAAATGTGGGTAAACTGGACACCTCACACAGGTTCTGCCGGTGGAAATGTGAACTACTGCTGGTGTTTTTGAAGTTCTGAGTTTAAAGAAAAGCAGTACTTCTATACTTAGAGCGCTTCCCCAGAGAAATGAAGTGTAAGTTCACAGAAAAAGTTATATACAAATGGATACAGCAGCATTATCCAAAGCAACCTGAATGCAGAAAACACACAATTACTCATCAACTAGTGAACGAATTTAAGCACATACACATACACAATAATCTGAATGGAATACTCATAGACGTTTCAACATTTTAAGACCTTCATAAGAATGTACGGTAAACGAAAGATGCCAAATAAGAAAGATGATCATGTGATTAAATTTAAATGAGACATCTCTGATCAGCCTATCTACAGACAAAATGAGGCTAGACAAATAGAAACAATCTACAAAGGGAGTAAAATGGATCATTTGGAAGTAACTGACAAGTTCTAAGATTAGGACTCCAAATTTACAACAAGTGATCCTCAAATGTTTTTGTCTCCATATCTAATTTTTCTCACACCTTAATATTCTCTTTAACTCTGACTTTACTCACTAATCAATTAACTGTCTTTACTCACTAATCTAAACTTTCCCTCTCCTAACCCTATTTTTAGGGTATACATTCCTTACATCTCTTTGAATCAAATTATAATCTATTCACCATTTCACTGCCCTAATTAATGACCTTGCCAACTTGTGAGGTTAGTACAGTGATGATTCTAGGACTTAAAACCTTTTCCTTATAGTGTTAGAGGTTAGATCAGAGTTGTACTAACTTGAGGCATCATAAGGGAGGCAGGCAAGAAGCTGGAGGTCCAAATAAAGCAGAAAGTATTCTTATATACAGTGAATAGAGTTAATATAATGCCCCCATACTATGAAATAACTAGTTATATACTAATATAATCCAGAAAACATACAGTATGACCGACTCTGTTGCTGTTCCATGCTCCCACGTTGAGAATCTCACTGGCCCCTACATAGCAGGACCACTGCCTGGCCCAGTGTCACCTTCGCAGTCCCTGCCATCCTTGAACCCACTGTTGCAGTCACTCAGACAACTCTTCTCATTGAGGGTCTGATCCTATAATTGACCAGGCATGCAATCTTTCTGTGAGCACTGGTTTTCTTGGGACCCTATGACACAAAAGCCTATGACACAAAGACTCACCACCCTCATCTCTAAGGAGCTTTTCTTGCTGTACTTACAGGGTCATCTAAGACACCTTTCTTGATGCTTTTGGCAGACCATGGTATCACCATTATCATCATCATCACAATTTTAAGGCATCAGTAATTCTTTGACAAATTTGCCCAATACATCCTTTGATTTGACAGCTGGTTCCACAGGCACTGATGGTGGTTCCAAATGAAATTCCTGCCCATTTCAACCTTTTCTCTATTTATGTTAGTTACTGGTCTAACTAATAAGGATTTTTGTTTTCTTAATATGATGATTACTAATGTATGCTCTAGTTTTATAGCTTCAAGTTTTTCAGCTTCTGCAAGCAGGGCTGTGTCATCTGTGTGTCGCAGGCTGCTGCCAGCTGTTCTTCCCAGTCCCATGTCATGTTGTTCTTCATATAGTTCAAGCTGGCTGTCAAATTACTTCCTCAGCATACAGAATGAATAATTATGGTGAAAACACAATCTTAACACATACCTTTCCCGCTGTTATGATCTGTGTACAAGTTCCACATGTACATACATTAAGTGTTCTGGAATTCGCATTCCTCACAATGTTAGTCATAATTTGTTATGATCCACAGAGCTGACTGTTTTTGCACAGTCAACAAAATACAGGTCAACTTTTTTCTGGTATTGTTTTGAGCTGGGATTCAGCTAACACCAGAATGCAGGCAGCCCTTTTTCCAAGTCTTCTTCTGAATACAGCTTGAATTCTGTCCCGTCATTTTGATGACTATTCTCAGGCAAATTTTACCTGTGATATTTACATTACATTTTACCTGTGATATTTACATTATCCTATAATCTAGGTGACAGATTTTAAGCAGAATATTGATAAAGACTATTTTCAGAGGTGGAATTCAGTCTAATTAGAAATCTAAAAATCATACCACATCTCAAAACATAAAAAGCACCTATTAGAGGAAGTAGCTTGGCATTCCCTTCAAAGGACAGCAATACTGTTTGATCCAGGAATCTCACTACTAGCTGTATTTTCAAAAGAAAGAGATCCAACTGGAACACCCAAGTTAACAGTATCATTATTTACAATGGCAAAGAAACAGAAATAATCCAAGAGCCTATCAACAGATGAATGGCTAAAAAAACCATGGGACACTATGGAGTATATGTTGCACTGAAGAACATGAAGAATTCCTGAAATACTGTATACACAGACAAACTAAGGACATTATGCATAGTGAGCGAAGTCTCATAAAGACAAGTATGAGACCACTATTATAAAATGTTAGAGAAATGTTTGCACACAGAATCATTCTAGTATGGTTACTGGGGAGGGGAGGGAAAGGAGAGTTTAATAATAAGTAGATAAAAAACACTTATTGAAATGGATGATGAGAAAGGCAATATTGTGGGTACTGTAATTAACGTTACAGAACAAAAGATGTCTGAGTGATTGTAAAACAAATATACTTTATAAGCTTTCATTTGATTCACTTAAAAACAAACAAATTATGCCCACAGCCTATCAGAACACACTGGGCAATGAGAGTGCTTAGCCTAGAGGATACAAGTAGAAAGGGCTGTGCAATTCCTCAAGGGCTGGGTTCAATCGCGAGATTAGCTCATCAGGGTAGAAATAAGATTAATACACAAATTACAGTAGTTAAAATACTCATGCACTTAATGATTCATTTTCTAGTACCGTAAAGCTATTCAATTTTGCTCAAGCAGAAGGGAGGCTACCCATCTGTCTTGAGATTTTAAAAACGGATTCTACATCTCATACAATTAACATAGAGACATATTTCTAAAAGCTTCAAAGGTCCAAACCTTTAAACAAACAAAAGCCCTTTTCTTTTCATATTAAGTATCATTCACTCTTTCTCCATTTCAATGTGTTGAATAAGGTCTTTTCTCCTCTGCAATTAGTGTGCTTTCTAAAAACAACCGTTACCACATTCTTCACTGCCGCATTCACTGCTGTGTTTTTGAGCACTGAGCACTGCACGGCTTCCACTGTCTTCCAAAAATAGAGGAAATGTGTCCAAACCACTGTTCTGAAAACCTGCTCATTCTTACTAACCACAAACGTAAAAATGACGCTTCAATAGTACAATAATCGGGAACAAGAGCTGCATTTCAAAGACTGGAGGAGGTATAAGGGAGGAAAATGTTTAACAGTGAACGAAAACTCAACCATTCTGTAATCTTTTGTTAAAAAGTCATAATAAAAAGACAAATTAAAAAAATTATTCTTCAAGGCAAAAAATTTCAGAAAATAGTCATTTTAAATTACTGTTTATTTGGGCATAAATTAATGCTCCTACTTACGTTTCAGTGTCTGAAACCAGTGATTCATTATTGCACACATCATTGAAGGTATGAAGTTGATTCTATGATTAGAGAAAGGAAAATTAAAAATTCCTCCAAATTATTCCTATAAACTATTTAACATACGCAGATTATAATCAATAATGCCAAGTCAAAACTATAAAAAGACAGATAATAAGACATAGATACATTCATTTCCAATTAGTATGACTTTTATAATATGAAATCACTAAATTAATTCCACAAATATTTATGGTTTCTCATATCAACTACTTTACAAAGCTGAAGAAAAACAATCTCTCTCTCACACACACACAAGTCAAACAGTAAATCTTATACAAAATTTCAAATAAAGCTCTCAAATAAATACTTTTAAAATATAGTTTAGCTAGATAATTGTAAAAAATATTTCTATATTTACAAAATCCATGACAGGGGTAAATCTTGCCACTTTAGAACACCAAAAAGAATTTTTAAAAAAACATTTCATTAATTTTTACCCAAGTAACAAGGAAGCTTTTAAAAAGTACTTCAAAATCTAACTGCATTTGAAAAAAAATCCATTTTTAAAAACCTTTAGCCTGGTAAACTCAAACACTATTTTACCAAAAGAAGTTGATATGACAGTTAACCTAAATGGTGTATATATACATAGTAAAGATCATGTACAACCTCAAAAAGTAGACAAATCTAAAATGTTCAAGAATAATTCATCAGCATCATTTTATGTATGCTATCTTCTATTAAAAACATAATGTTGTCAAGTTCAGTCACAGCAACCTAGACACAGAACAAGTGTCCCAAGGGGATTTCAAGGGGCTCAAAGTTTACAGGAGCAGCCTGAGACCACCTCACCTGTCGGCTATGGATCTGGTTCCAATACTGACAACACAGCACCACCAGGGTTTCCGCTCAGCTAAGGCCCGGACACCAGCAAACTGCTGTGATGCAGTGTTACATGCCTGAGCATTCCTGCTCTTCCAACTCACAACACCCATTCAAAACAAAACAATAACAATAGACTTTTATGTGAATATTACCTATTAATAACCTAATACTGTGTGAGCAAAGAATTTGTTAGTCAAAAGTCTATTCCTTGAAAATAGCTAAAGTGGTTGCATGAATTTCTTCTTCTTTTTCTGCCTGAAAACATAGCATTTTAAACTTGAATTTACAAACGAAATGGTTCACTCTTCTGGTCTTTTTGGCCGCGGCAGCAAAAGTGAGATGACAAAGGGAATGTCATCGTTTGGAAAGTGTCGCAGTGTGCCACCGCTGTGGCTCTAAGGCCTGCCACCTTCAGAAGTCCACCTGCGGCAAGTGTGGTTACTCTGCCACAAGGGAAAGCATAACTGGAGTGCCAAGGCTAAAAGGAAAAATACCACTGGTACTGGTCATATGAGGCACCTATAAAGATCGGTTACCACAGATTCAGGCGTGGATTCCGTGAAGGAACACCTACACCCAAGCGGGCAGATGTTGCAACATCCAGTTCATCTTAAGAATTCCACTGTTTAGCTATGTATTATTTGAAAAAAAAAAAAAAAATCCAAAATGGTTCAAAAAAGAGTGAAGGAGTTAAGACTGTGAAATCAAACAGATCTCATTTATAAAACAGCCTCAGTTTCCACACTTTAGATAAAAAAAAATCAAAGTTACTTGTGAAGACCATATACAGAAGGGCATACAAAACACTTAACATGCAGGAAATAGCCATTACTCTAAATCAAGCACTCAAGTAAATGATCTCATAGCAATCCTAAAGGACAAAGCAGAACGGCCCATTGTTTCCCAGGTTGAAAATCCTGAGAGAAGCAGACTGTCATACTTTTTTGCTCCTGGAGTGGCAGGTGGGTTAGAACCACAGACCTTTTGGTTGGTAATGGAGCACTTTAACCATTACGTATCACCAAGACTCCTTGCTCCATCAACAGTAGGTGTTATTGTTAAGGCAACCGTCTGAAAGGTAAATTAAAAGAAGACAAGACAGCTTACTGTGATCTGACTCAGCCCAGCCAACCTCATGGTCAAGGTAGGTGACATGAAGTATTTAAATGCAAGATCTAAGCTTTCTTTGTCAAAGCATAACGTTGTGTCCAATGGTTCTTTCACTGTGCTCCACATTAAATCAGCCATGTTGCGAGCAGCACTCTGACGTAACTCCTGATCAGACAGCTTGCACAAATACCTGAAATAATTGACATATGAAAAATAAAGGCTCATGAAACATTTCTAAGCACAATACAAACATTCCTTTGCTGAATATACCTAAATATTTAGTACAGGAGAATATGACATCATTAAAATGAACATTTAAAATATAAGCAATTTCCAGGCTAAAGGAGCAGGGAAGGGAACTCTGGTCACAGCAGATGGAGTCTGTATGGGGTTGAATTAACTCACACACAGGTGGCATCTCTCTGGCTGTTTTTACCAGTAATAGCTCTAAGGGGAAAAGATGGACAATCTCTTTCCAAGCTATTTACAACTTCAGAAATCAACTGGAGGGTCAGTTCTGAGTTGTTTCCAACTCTACAGCAATAAGGTTGTTTTTTAAGTGACAGTAAAGAAGACTGTTGGTGGCAATATGCTGACAATCTAACCTGGTCCATCAAGTACAAAAAAGCCAACTACTTTATACAGAATACAAACTTTCATTAAAGCAGGTGGCTTAGTAGAAAGAAGTTGCCCTCCAATCTAAAGGTGCACAGTTCGAATCCACCAAGTGCTCTGTTTAATTAACTGCCTCTGAAAACCCAATGGAGGCTGAGCTAGGGGTTCTGGTGCCTTGTTAAGAACTATGCTACCACCACAAAGGTAAGTTGTTGAAACCACCACCAGGTGTTCTGAGGGAGAAAGGTGGGCAACCTCCTGCCATGTGACATGCTGCCTCTAAAGCACTGGAGGGTCAACTATGGGACAGTTGCAACTTGAGGGTACACAACAACATTAAAGCTTTACTAGTCACAACCTGTCATGTTCCCAGTACCAAATATTTAGTATTTGGTTTTATCCTGTTTCAGTAAATTTCACAAGGGATTGCAGTAATTGCACATCCACACCATCTCATGGGAAGGTCTGATAGTTTAGTGATAATGAATTGAAAAGCCAAACCAAATGCCCATGGTTTGAATCCACTTGATGCACAGCGAGAGAAAGATGGGTAACCTCCTCCCATACAATTTAAAAATAAAAACCTATTAGGAGTTGGGTCCAATTCAACAGTATATAACAACAATGCCTAATACTACAAAATGAGAGAACAGACCTGGAGAAGTGGAAGAATATCCTTTGCTCATGGATAGAAAGACTCAAAATTATGAAAACGACAATATTACCAAAGGCAATTAACAACTTCAATGCAATCCCAATACAAATACCAATCCCATTCTTTGAGATGGATAAGGCTATCTCCAATTCCATTTGGAATGGATAGAGGCCCCAAATAAACAAAGCACTCCTTAAAAAGAGAAACCATGTAGGAGGCATCTCACTCCCTGACTTCAAATCCTAATGCACTGTGGTGGTCAAAACAGCATGGTACTGGTACAAAGACAGACACACAGATCAATGGAATACAACTGAGAATCCAGAAATCAGCCTATCTACCTGTGGTCAACTGATTTTTTACAAGAAGATGAAATCAGTTAAATGGGGAAATGACAGCCTTCTTAACAAATGGTGTTGGCAACACTGGAAAGCTATCTGCAGAAAACTTAAGCAAGATCCACATCTCATACCATACACAAAACCAACTCAAAGTGGATCATGGACCTAGGAGTAAAGCAAGGACTATAAATATCATTAAAGAAAAGAGCTTGGAAGAACTCTGGAAGTCGTAATCCACAACATCAACAGTCTTCAAAGCATCCTGAAAAATCTACAACCAGGAGAGGATAAAATAGATGAATGGGACCTTCTAAGAATCAAATTCCTACACACATCCAAAAACTTCTCCAAAAAAGGGGAAGCCACAGACTGGGAAAAAATATTTGGTAATGACTTGTCAGATAAGGGACTTATATCTAGAATTTATAATACACTCAAGAGCACCACAACAGGATAAAACAACCCAACTGAAAAATTGGTACAGGATATGAACAGACACTTCACCAAAGACGACTTTCAGATGGTCAACAAACACATGAAGAAATGTACAAAAAACCACAAAAACCCCTAGTTCTAACAAATGCTGGTGAAGTTGTGGAGAGACTGGAACCCTTATTCACTGTTGGTGGGAGTGTAAAATGGTGCAACCACTGTGGAAGGCGGTATGGTGCTTTCTCAAAAAGTTGCAAATAGAAATACCATTTGATCCAGTAATTCCACTACTGGAATTTACCCTAAAGAAACCATAACTGCCACCCAAGTAGATATATGCATACTTATGTTTATTGCGGCTTTGTTCACAAAGCAAAGAGTTGGAAACAACCCAAGTGCCCATCAACAAACAAATGGATAGAGAAGCTATGGCATATTCACACAATGGAATACTATGCTGCATTGAAAAACAAGGAACTCATGCAATATTATTCAAAATGGGTGACCCTGGAGGACATTATGCTAAGTGAACTATCTCAGCCACAAAAGGACAAATTAGTGTCACTGTTATAAAACAGAACTGACATCGGAGTTGGGGGTAAACTGAGAAAGTGGGAATAAATAATGTATGCTGCATTAAAACAGGTGAGGGATACATGATGTCATGACAGGAGTCCAGAATGAAGGCTGCATAGTGGACTTGGGGGGAGGGATTCTCTTACAATGAAAGAATTTTACTTTTCAAAGAAAAGAGCGAACTGGGGGCAGGCGGAGTGGGCAGGGGGAAAAGTGTAATAATCCATGAATGGATATCCAAAGTATCTGTAAACGTTCATTAAAATTAATAAAAAGTAACTTTTGTAAATTTTCAAAAAAGCAGGAGATGTAATAATTAAAATGTGCCCAATGACAGAGCTGCAAAAGTCAAAACAAACCTGAACAGATCTGAAAAAAGAACTATATAATACCCCAATAGCAGCAGACTTCAATATACCCACTTCAATATTCTCACTTTGAGTAAGAACAGAATGACTAGAAATACTCAACAAAGAAACAGAACTAAATAATGAACTGGCTGAACCTCACAGATAAAGAGATACACACAGACAAAACATACCACATGTTACATCGCAAAGCAAGTCTAGATAAATGAAGAAACATTAAAATAGTGCAAAGAATCTTCTCAGACCACAATGATGCAAATTCAGAAATTGACAGGAGGGTTAAGGGAGCAGGAATATATATTTTGAAATTAAATATCAACTTCCTTGAATACTTCTAGGTAATAGAAGAAATTAAAAATTTCTCATATGCGAATGAAAACTTCAAGGACAAACCAAAAGCCATCTTTCAAGTTCAACTTACAGCAATAAGCAAACATGAAAAAAGACTATAAACCACACCAAAACCCAACACCTTCAACAATTAGAAAAATAGCAATCAAATCCCATAACCTGTAAAAGGAAATTAAATAGAACTGAAAAAGAGAAAAGTATCACCAAATCCAAGAGTTGTTGGTTCTTCAAAAGGATTAATGACATTTGCAAATCACTAGGACATCTAACAATGGATAATGAAGACACCAAGGAGAGCAAACAAATGAAATATGCAAGGTCACAACAAAACCAACTGACAGAAAAGAAAAAAAGAATACGATAAGAGATATGCTCCAATAAATTAGAAAATCTAGAAGAAATGGACGCTTTTAAAAGAAACTCAGATCTTACCTAAACTAATACAGAAGTCAAACACTAGAACAAGACTCATCACCTAAGAGGAAATAGATCATTAAAAAAACCTCCCAAGCCAAAACAAAAACCAAAAAACAAAAAAAACAAAACCCACACCAAAAAAAAAAACCCCAAAACAAAAAAAAATAACAAAACCCAGACCTGATACCTTCACTCATGAATTCTACCAAATATTCAGGAGCGTCATCAAGCCTACGTAAACTATTTCAATAAGATGGAACACTCCGACTCATTCCATGAAGCGAGCATAACTGATACTAAAACCAAGTAAAGATACTACTAACAAAGAAAACTATAAATCAAATCTCCTTCATAAACACAAATGTAAACATCAGCAAAAACTTCAATAGAATCTAACAACTTATCCAAAGAATACATCATGTTCAAGTGGTCTGTTAAATATTAAGAAAAACCACTGGTGTAACCCAGTACAGCAAAGGAGAAGAACTACAAGACTATACTGAACTGGTGCTGAAAAGGCATCTGACAAAAATTCAACACAACTTTTTTATGAAAATGCTCAACAAAATAGAAAAAGGGAAGAATTTTTTTCAACATAATTAAAAACATATCTACAAAATCAATTACTCTCAAAAGATAAGAGATTAAAAAGATTTCCCTTGTGAACAAGGACAAAACGAGAATGCTATTACCACATCTATTCAACATGTTATTAGAAGTGCAACAAGGAAAGAAATGAAAATAACACACATCCTAATAGGGCAAGAGAAAATAAAACTATTTCTTTTTTGCAGATGATATGATAGTTGTTGTTGTTGATTGCCTTCAAGTCAAGCACAACTCATAGCAACCGTATAAATAGGCCTAAAGCCCCACAGCAACTATCAACATTTATCAAGTTCATAGAATTTCTGGAGGCATGTTATTTAGGAAGTGGATGCCACTCGATATAGAAAATTCCAAAAACTCAGCAAGAAAATTTAATTTAGTCAACTAATTCAGCCAAGTGGCAGGATACAAGATCAACAAACAAAATCAGATTTCTCTACAGTACTAAGTAAGGATATAAGGAAAACAATGCCAATTAGAATAGTCATCCACAAGATTAAATACTTAGGAACAAATCTGTGAAAATTGGCTTTTCTATCCATTGCATTAGCCCCATATTGGGAGCATGGTCTTATAAATCAAGAGCTGTGGGACCAGTGTAACAGGGCACTTTCCACACTGGGAGGGATGATGGTGAAAAAGTGTGAAGAAAGTGGCAAGGTATAACCTGAAGAACCCTGGAGATGGAGCCACAGTTCAAGGTTTTGCTTGCTGAACTAAGAAGGGAAAGCTAACTTGTAACACTTTGAGAAAGTTTGCTGGAAGACTAAGGAAATCACATTTGTTTGTGAATTAAACCTGGAATTTCACTAATTGAGAAACTGTG